TTGTTTCTTTTTTCTAAAGAATATTGAAAGCACAGAAGACACAGTAATGAGAATATTTTTTTCTGTTCACAGCGTATCCATTTGGACATTAGAGTTGGAGAACATTTTTTGGATGAATCTGTTGTTCAAGCCAAAGACAAAGTGAATGAAGTTAACTTTAGACTAGAACATCTAATTGAGCAAATTCATCACATATCCAAAGAACAAAACTATGAAAGAGTATGTATGTTCCCTAATGGAACTGATAAAAATATTGTACATAGACTTATTGGTTTATAAAGTGTTATGACGTTTATTATTTAATTGCACTGTTATTTTTAACTAACTCACAAAAATCTATTGGTATTTAACCAATATAGTCTACATTACCTTGCAAAATATTTTTAAGCTGTAACATAAAAACGAATTAATCACTGTGAACTCATGCTTACAGCAACAGGTGTTATTTTAAAGTAGGAATTTCCAAATATAGTTTTCCTGGTCAGATTCAGTAACAGCAGCTGAGCAGGTGGCAGGTATCGTTGCTGGTGATGTTGCCAGCTGTTTTTTCCATGCTGGTCTGTGTGCATAAACTATATTGGAGTGGGTAAAGAAACGACTGAGTGTATATTTATATATTCCCATGCAGTTAGAAATAAACCCCTCCTTCAAACAAGTGTACGCCCATTGTCTTCACTTTTCTATTTGTATGCAGGCAGTCAGACTGTGTTGAAAATATATCAATTAGTTACCTAAAAAAAGAAATTCGGCTGCAAAAAGGTTCTTGACTGCAATATGTAAGTGTGTCTGTTTCTCAGTTTTGATTTGTAAAGACACCCACCTTATGGGTAAGAACAAACTTCCATTTTTATTGACACGAAGTGTTTGTTCACTACTATGCAGAAGAGGGATGCCTGTCTAGTTACCTGGAGAGCAGCATGAAACATACAGATGCTAAAAGGTAATGTTTTTCCTTTTTTCTTTAGGAGCGTGAAGAAAAATTTCGGAAGACAAGTGAAGAAACCAACAGCAATATTTTGTGGTGGGCTATTGTACAAACACTAATCCTGGTCTCCATTGGAATCTGGCAAATGAAATCTCTCAGAGATTTCTTTATATCGAAGAAGCTTGTTTAAATATTATAAAGTAAATGCACATATTCAAAAATTGCACACCACGTAACACCTAATATCCAAAGAAACCCTGCATCTATGTAAAAATTGCTTGTATGTAACTCTGAAGCCTTTCTCATCTTCTACTCTGATTCTTACTCTAACTCTGGTTTCTCCATCTATATCGCAACCTCTGGCATCCCCTTACATTTTTCTTCTTGAATCCCATCTTTTATGATTATTTTTTTTCCCTCTACAGATGTAAAGCTAAATCTAGAAGAAGGACTCAGTGACTAAGGCAGCATTGAAAATCAACTCAGCATTGTTAAATCTAAAGTAGAAATCCAAAAAAAGTTTCCTAATATTTTAAATTTCTCTACTTGCTTAGTAATTGTATTCAGTACTACCACAAACAGTACAGCATTTCAGACTGACTAGGACTCAGATAGTAGGCAGATAAACAACTATATCCCCTGCAATGCTTAATTTGGTGAATGTGGCTTGAACTCAAACTATGTATGTGTAGTAATACCTAGCTTTCCCTGAAATAGAATTGTGTCTGTTTTCTTTTAAAATATTTGAAGTTTTAAGTGACAGTGGAGACCACCCTTAAGATTATGTTCAGTGGTTGCAGCAATTACCATGGAAGAGAGAGACCCAGACAAACAATTGGAATTGCACTTACATTTTATTTCTAGATAAGCCCTAAACATTAAGATATATAGTTGAGATCAGACCTCTGCCACAGTTGTTTATGTAAATTATAGTCTTTATGAAGTATGCCAAAGTAAACGAAATTACAGGTTTCTTGGTAAACACTGAATTTTTGCCTATATATTTTATTTTACATTATTCCTACACTGAATTATTCAGTCTGTTTCTGTGTTGGAGAATTATTTTTATTTTAATTATTCAGCAAGTGTAATGTGACTGTCTAAGAAGCTTACCAGTTTTTTACTTAATCGTATATTTCCATTTCACCTATTGCAACTTGGTTGAATGTATCTTTATGCCTTCATTTAGTTAGTTTATGTACAACTAGCAGAGAAGCTACGGTATCATGCAATTATAAGTCAGAAGCAGTGGTTAAAAATTCAGGTAATTGCTTGACAAAGCAGGAGTGGAGTAAGAAGGACTTGGAGGTGGTTATAACATGATCCATCTTAGCACTTGTTTAACATGTAAAGTCATGAAACTTGAAAAAGTTTCTAGAGAGCACTGTGATAGCAGAATATTGTGATTTCGTTTCCTACTTGTCTTTCCAGACCCTTTACTAGTCTAAAAGCTAGTAAAAGCCAAAATATTTGCAGACCAATTATTGTTTTAAAGGCCCTGCTTGCTTTCTCTTTTCTATCTTCTCACCTTTTGTTTTCATTAGCAACAAAATGACATTGCCCTTTAAGTTCACTTACGTTTACAGTATGGGAATGAAAATACAGCTATAAGTATGTGACAATCCATAAAGTTGATACAAAGTAGAGACAAAAAGCAATGCTCTACAGACCAAATCAATCAAAATAAAATCTCATATAAGCTATTCACTGAGGTGTGTCCTATATTTTAAAATTCTGAGACTTTAGAATTGTCACTTGAAATACCCAGTAAATAAGAGTTATTAAATTCACTTTTATAGAACACTCACTTACAACATGTCTTGTAATAACATCTTTGGTGGTGGGAAAGAAGGAAAGATATGTTACAACCATATGGTGTATGAAGTCTAAGGGGAAAGTTTAATAAAGGCTTGCTACAAGGCTGTGGTTCAGACTTTAGCTGACGTTTAGTGTAAGGCTCCTAACCACATCCCAATGACAAACTTAACTCATATCACTTACAATACACTTATGCTTTTAAACCAAAAGGGCAGGCACCGTGTCAGAATTTATAAAGGCGCAGATTATGCTCCTCATTATAAATTAGGTCTCTGCTCAAACCAGCAATGAGACTCAGAGCCTTGACTATAGCTTGAGAGCGCTTCATTCTTTATCTATAATAACAATAATTAAATATCTTTGCTTTGATGAAATGTTTTCAGTCTCCTTCAAGATTTTTAATTAACTGTATAAAGCAGAATCTGAATCACAGCTCTTTTGGGAAGCGCTTTGGGGGCAGTAGTCTTAATGAAGTCAAAAGCCGGAGGTTCCTCCTATGCAGTCTGTGGCTCTGTCAGACTCAGAGCTCCAGCCTGCACAGCAAGTAGGTCTGTAAGGGAATTTTCCCCTAAAATTTTCATTAAGGGAAATCAGCAAGGCCTGGGTTTTTTTCAATGTTAAAAATGAAGGGGTGAGGGCGGGGGGTGGGG